TAGGAACATTGGGAGACATGGAAAAACAGACACTAGGGAAGCAGGGAGACATGGGCACACAGACACTAGGGACACATGGGAACACTGAGGCACTAGGGACACTGAGAGACTGGTAGACATGGGGACACTGAGACACCAGGGACACTGGCTTGGAGACATGAGGACACTGAGACACTTGGGGACATTGTGTCCCTAGTGTCTCAGTGTTCCTGTCTCCCAGTTTTCCCAAGTGTCTCAGTGTCCCCATGTCTCAGTGTCTCCATGTGTCCCCAAGTGTCTGTGTCCCCGTGTCTTCCAGTGTCCTCTAGTGTCTCAGTGTCCCCATGTCTCATTGTCCCCATGTGTGTCTGTGTCCCGTTTTCCAAGTGTCCCCAAGTGTCTCGGCATCACCAGAGGTTTCCATGTGTCCTCATGTCTCACAGTGTCCCCTAGTGTCTCAGTGTCCCCATGTTTCCCTGCAGCCTTTACCCCATCCCTCACTTCCTTAGGCTGTAGGCTGTCTCTGCAGGCCAGGAGCTGTTGTCTACACTCTCTGTTGTCAGGGTATTTATATCGGCAGACATTTTGTGCTAAGATAGAAACTAAAAGTGTATATTCTGAGTCACTCTGAACAGACCAGACCCCATTTTGTTATTTTCAAATTAACAAAAAGACACTAAATTCTTTCTGTAAGACTGGCCTCTTTGCCAGAGCTAAGGAATGCATAGTATAAACAAGTGACAAGGAAGGGGGTTGGACAGACTGTCTAATGTTAATGGAATATAATCAAATCTAAACCCAGACAATTGTGACAGAGAAGATTAAATAATAATATTTAACTGTCTATATATATAAGGTACCATTGTATGGAAAAGGGTAAACTTAGTTCATGATCTGCCATATCAGAAATTATAGCAGATTTGCCAGACACATAGTCTGGACAAAATTTAAGAAACCCTTTGATCTTTGAAGGATAAGTAAGTTATAGTGGTCATTTGAGATAAGCAAAATTACGTCAAAATAGCCACCAGGAAAAGTTAACTCTTTCCTGGATAGGTATGTTTAGTGGGACAAGACTGCCCTCTATAGACCAAATAACTAATTTGCGATCTGGAAGATAACCACACCTCTAGTGCTTCTATTGGGTTATCAACTGATGACGTACAGAGAGTCTGGCCCTTTAAAAGTTAAGACAAAGGGAAGATAGAGGGAGGCAGATCCAAGAGATATGCAAAGAAAAAGAGGAGAGAGGAATTGGAAGTTTGGGGACTCCAACCTCCATGCAGAGAGAGACATCCAAATAAGTTCCTGAGACTACCAATCGGATGAAATATCTACTCAACTGGTAATTATACTGGTTTCATTTAATTAATTAAATTAATTAAAATGTATTAATAGCATTATATATGACTGGATAAAGCACGGTCAGATTTCCATATTAAGAAATCTTAGTTAACTAAGAATATATAGTTATAAACATTCCATTCTGCAGGTGGAATTAAGAATAATTATATATTGATGTGATATTATCACGTGTTAGCATACCGCTGTTTTTATCCAGGTGTATTGATTTGCTCTAAATTAAGATAAGATATCTTTTAGACAAATTAAAATTAAAATTTGCTTATATAATATGGTAGATTCTCTTATTGGATGGTTTTCAGGAAATGACTAATGAACTGGTTTAAATGTTATTTTATTTAAAAATTACATAAGAATAGATCTTAACTACCTAGGAGATCTAGCCAGCATTGAAAGGGTTATTCTAACTGTCTGCTAAACTTTACGACCTTACGCTGCACTCTGAGGAATTCTGTTCTTCGCTGTGAAAAGTTTCACTTTCAGTCTGTGTTAAAGATAGTCATAAATCAAAGTCTTGACAGAAAATGCTGTTCAGAGTTAATAGCCATTGAAACGTAATACCCATTCCTTTGTATTGCATATCATTTTATACTGGATATTCATTGATTATTGTCATGCATGTTGCATAATATTATTATTAATTTGTCATTATAAATAAAAATCTATTTTTATACATTGTGATATTATTATATGAAATACATTCCACTTAACACGATAAACGTTCTTTGGGATCTGAGAATTGAATTAGTGGGCAATTCTCAACTGTTTACTATTATTATCCCATAAATATCCCCACACTGTGCTGTGTAGCTTCTCCCCTGCGGATCAGTGAGTAGAGAGATGCAGGTATATGCTGTAACTTCCTATCCCAGCCTCTCTGCACACACACAGCGACTTCTACTGGCCAGTGATGGCATATGCTTTGTTTATTATTTTTTTATCATACTGTTTTATTGAAGGCATTTTAAAGCCTAATGAAAGAGATTAGTTTTTACCTGATCCCTGATTCTGCAAGTTCCTGTGCCTGCTGAGTATTCATTCCTACCCAGTGTGGAGAGAGGACTTCGGTAGGCCCATTAAGAGCTTTAAGGCGCTTCTTGAATTTACATCCTGTGAGTTTTACCACTAATTGCCGTGCTATAAATTTGTATACTGTACTTCGCCATGTATTATTTATCCTTTAGGTTATAGATTACAGCTGTATCCCTATTCTTTGCATATATCTACCTATTCAGTATGGGGTATGTTCAGTCTTTTTGTTTTTTATAATTCTGTCTTTTTTATTAAGGCATACATGAAGGGTAGAAAATAAAGAAGGGTAAATGCAACACAATGGGGTTAATACAGCGATAACATTGCTCCCTACATTTCCAGAATACAAATGGCTCATTTTTAAATTTTTGTAAATCATGCTACGTAAACATATTTTGAATCAGGTTAGGTTAAGATGCAGTATTATGATATTAACAAGCTAATCTTACTGCCTTAACAGGCTAACCTTACTGCATGGTGATAACACACACAAGTAATATTATGGCGCTGAATTTAAAACTATAATATATACCAATAAGCAGTACTATATATCGTGAAAAAAGCTCAATCACCTATGTAAAACAATGAAAAATTAAAGTGTGCTGTGCCTTTAAGACTCAAAACAGTGAAAATAATTTGTGCAATGTTGTGCAAATAAAGTGGTCAAGTGCATCAATGTGCAACTCACTTCAATATATATATATACAAATTGTGCAAAAATATTTCTTTGTGCAACCAATTGTGTGCAAAAGGCAATACTAAACTTTCCCAATTATGGAATGTGCTTTAGAACTTCTATCAGCACTCCAATATATGTCTCAAAAGAGAAAGAAAATATACAATCATAGGGTAATATGTACATACACAGGGATAAAGAAAATGTAAACCAAAACACTCACAAGGGTAGAGCAATATAAGTCTACTCTAAACGTTGAAGGCTTCTATTGCAATAATGTAGACTGGAAACTGTGGTGAAGTTAAATCCTTTATTGCTTCTTTAAAAATATCGCTGCATAAGGCTGGTAAGTCCCACTTATCTGGTCACCTCTTATGCTTAGTGCTGGTATGATCAGTCTCTCTTTCGGCGCCGGCTGTACAGGGTCTCTAATTCCAAACACGTCCGGGAGGCGGGGCTATTATTGCAATAGAAGCCTTCAAAGTTTAGAGCAGACTTATATTGCTCTACCCTTGTGAGTGTTTTGGTTTACATTTTCTTTATCCTTGTGTATGTACATATTACCCTATGATTGTTTATTTTCTCTCTTTTGAGACATATATTGGAGTGCTGATAGAATTTCAAAAGCATATTCCATAATTGGGAAAGTTAAGTATTGTCTTTTGCACACAATTGGTTGCACAAAGAAATATTTTTGCACAATTTGTGTATATATATATATATTGAAGTGAGTTGCACATTGATGCACTTGACCACTTTATTTGCACAATATTGCACAAATTATTTTCACTGTTTTGAGTCTTAAAGGCACAGCGCACTTTAATTTTTCATTGTTTAACCTTACTGCATGACATGCTATGTGGCTATAAAAATATCACAGTCAGAGTGTAAATCATATGTTTAGCTAAATCTACATTGAATGTTTATACAGCTAAACCATCTATTCCACCTAAAGTAGCCTGTCAACATGCTTAGCTATACAATTTTGTAAAGTGATAATACAAGCAATGGGTCCTAAGATCCGTTTGGTATCACATTCGGCAATAATATGAGTCAGCATAAGTATATCAACATTGTACACTGTTTGTTTGCATAAGATTTAAAAGTTTACTGCACTGTTATTTTATGTTTTGCGTTAAAGTTAACATAATGACATATTTAGGCAGAACTTTTGCCGGTCTCGGCCTGCAGGTCTTAGCTTTTCTAGTCGTTTGCGTTTGTGTCCGAGGTCAAAGAAGGGGCTGGCGGGGGGTACCATTTCTTTGTCTTGGGGGCTGTCTGTGCCTGTGGGGCACTCAGTGTTAGGTCTCTGTTTTGGGTACCCAGGCTACAAGGAGATCCTCGGCCTCTGTTCTCCCACTAGTCGGGCTGTCCTGTCTGCTGTTATGCCCGCGAGGTGAGCTGGCTGGTCTTAGTCTTCAAGCAGGCATGAGGTTCAGGGGCGCTAGTGAATGGCAGGTCGTGGCGGCGGTGTGCAAGGGCACCATCCCTGTTCTCGCTGGTGTAATAGGCTGCCATTTATAGTAAGTTGATGAGGTGTTTTCAACTATAGGGGTCGGCAGGTCCCAATCCCACCGGGCTTCATTAGGGGGATGTCTGTGGTGCTCTGTCTCATTTCCCCTCACCACCTCCCCATCCCCCGCGAGGTCTGGGCTACCGTTAGTAAAAGTAAGATGTAGGAGCGGCAGTTCGCCCTTCTCGGGTGGGGTGGTCGTCCTCCTCCCCCTAGGTCCCGGGAAGGTGGTGTGTAAGGTAGGTCTAGTTACTTGTTACAGGTGGGTAGGCTGTCCACGCTTGGCTCTTTTACAGTCGCCCTATTCGAGGCCATCTTCGACACCCTATGCCCGTATCCCTGAGTGGTCTGTATGAGTTTGTCCTCTCTCTAGTGTTGGACAATGTACATTTTGAGGCATTAAGATAATTATGACATGCAATGTCTGGGCAGATAACATCAATAACGGAACATAAGATTAAAATCAAAATTAAAATTAAAACTCAATAGTATAGTCGGACAGTTCTGGTAGTCTGTTCCCCTGTATACACCTCCCTGACTCAGGTGCCTGTTGGTTGGCGGCCGACCCTCTGCGCTCTGAATGCGGTGGAGGACGAGGTGGAGGACCCAATAGGCTGGAACGGTTGTATTTTGGTCATGTCCCAGACGTGAGGGGGCTGCTTTCTTTGGGCTTGGGTGATTGGTGCTTGGTATGTCGGCAATCCCAGCACTATCAGCACTGAGTCCATTTCCGCTGTGTCTGTTAAGCAGGTTGTGGCTCCCCCATGGGAATGCCCACCGGTATGGGATGGAGTGTTGGTGGAGTGTGGTGGTCAGTGGTTTGAATCGGTTTCTCCAGAGCACCGTGGGCCTGGACAAGTCCTGGTAGAAAGACAAGGTGGCTTTTTCAAAAAGGTAGTTAGCTTCTCCTCTCACCGCTATCATAAGGGTTAATTGGGCTGCCCGTGTCTGTAGCTGTAGTATAACATCCCTTGGGGTGTCTGCAAGGGCTCTGGTGGCTCTCGGGATGCGGTAGACCCCGTCGATCACGGCAAGGTTTGCTTGGTGTGGTGTGAGTAGGGAGGCGAGTAGTCTCCTGGAGTATTGCAGTAAGTCACTCGGGGTCACTGTCTCCGGGATTCCCCGGATTTTTACATTTCTGCTCCTGTGCCGATCTTCTAGTGCGTCGAGGCAGCTGGTGAGATGAGACTGGTTGCGCTGCAGCTCAGTATTTTGGGCTTCCAGCTGTATGCATTGGGCTGTTAGGTCTTCTAAGTTTCCCTCCATAGTCTTGACTCTCCCCTCCACAGTTTGTGTTTCCTCGGGCAGTGTGGCTACATCTGCAGCGAACATCATGCGGAGGTTGCGGAGGAGGGCTTTAATATCTCCTTTTGTGGAGGGTAGCTCGCTATCCTCGTCAGAGGAGGGGTGGTGTAAGCCCCCAGAGCCCCGGAACTCGTCCAGCTTGTCCATTGCTTGTTCCTCGCCATGTTGTTTTGGCATGGTGAGGCTTGAGGCCTTTGCGGGATGAAGAAGAAGGTGCTTGGATTTCTTGCCCATCCTGCGTTATCGTCTAGGGTGATTAAATCGCTTGTTTCAGGCTTGTTTTGGGGGAGCTCTGTTGACATGCGTCTGCTCGGGTTAGCTGCTGGCTCCGCCCCTGTCCAGTCTTTTTTAATAGCCACTTAGTCACAAACACTGGCCAAAGTTAGTGTTCATAATTTTTTTGTGTGTGTGCCTTTTTCATAAAAAAAACTGCACTATCACTGGTGATATTATTGTCAATATAGGTTTTACTGCTCTGACACTCATATTTAAGTTCAGGGATTCCTCACGGGTAAAACAGTAACCCCCATGTACAGGTTTTATGGGGTTTCGGAAAGTTACAGGGACAAATGTAGGGCTTTCCCACTTCAGTTTGCTAGGTTGGTTTGCCGAAGCTATGTTGCCTTTGAGACCATATGGTAGTCAAGAATTGAGAATTACCAATATCCTGGCATACCATTCACAAAAGTAGACAACCCAGGGTATTCAGAATTGGGTAAGTCCAGTCTTTTGTAGTAGCCACTTAGTCACAAACACTAGCCAAATCTAGTTCTCATTTTTCTTTTGCATTTTTCACACAAAAACTGCACTTTCACTGATGATATCATCATCATTACAAATTTGAGTGTTTTAAAACACTCATATGAACAAAGTTGTTCAAAGATCTCAAGTCGTTGCAGCGTGATGACATGACGCACGCTGTGAGAGGCGGGGTCTGTCGGAAGGGCACAAGAATTGTCAGAGTGGGAGCAAACAAGCAGAGCCGCAGTGAAAAAATTGAGTGTCTTGGACAGGGGCTGAGAGAGTGGCAGTAACAGTGTGAAGATACAGCATAACATTGGCAGAGAATACGGAGGAATAGACTGGGAGACGGGAAATAGAGGTGGTGTAAGGCGGTGATACGATAGTCCAGCAGAAACCATATAGGTTGGATGGCAAGCCCCACGTGCTAACTGCACATCAAATGCAGTGAGTCAAATTTTTTAAAAAAAAGACGACTTTAAATCTTATTTCATTTTACTTAAAGTTATGAAACAAAAAGTGAAGGAAATAAAGTAAAGTGGGTGGGGGGAAAGCATATAAGCACCTAAAGCGGAAAAAAAATAAGAGCAAAAAAGCAAAAGAAAAAAAAAAAAGAGAGAAGCAGGGGCATAAATAATAAAGGCTAAGAAACGAGAGGATTCTGAAGTGAAAGCAGTATATTAGTTAAAAGAAGGCAAAGAAACTTATTTGTTAACTGCACCTATATTGTGAAATGAAAGTGCATAAAGTGTTGCACAAAAACATTTAAAAAACATAAAAGTTGCCCTGAATAAAAGGAAATTAAACACAAAAGGAGATCAAGAAAGAGAAAAGAAAAAGAAAAGAGCATTTAAAAAAAAAAAAAATTGGGGGGGGGGAAGATCAACTAAGCGGTGCATTAAATTAAAGGGCTTCTAAAAAAACTAATAACACCCTAAGAGAGCATAGTGTGAAGATAAAACAAAAAAAAAGAGTTTCAGCCAATGATCTTTTAACCACAAGCCAATAAAGTCCCAAAAGACTTACACTGTAAAGAAATGGATGACTCAATAAATATTGAAGTGAACCAAGAATTGAATACCACATTACAAGCATTCATGGAAAAATGCTTTTGGAAAGCTCTACAAGAATAAAAACTGGACTAAAATAAAAACAGTACTTCTAAGATCAAAAAATAAATTGAGGCTTTATCAGAAAAAAAATTAAAAAAATTGAAGAGCATTTACAAAAAATTGACACACAACAACTGATACTACAAGAACAATATGACTCCCTGCTCCTCAGAATAAATAGGCAAGACCTGAAATTAGAAATGCTAGGAGACCAGGCAAGAAGAAATCACTTATGCTTTAGAAATATCCCAGAAGAAATCAGTCCTGAACAACTAAGAGTGTTTTTATCTCAATACTCCAAGGAACTAGGGGTAGAAGATCAAGACCTCAATTCAACAATGAACGATTGCACCTAGAGATGTTGTCGCTAATTTCCAGTCCTACCTATTCAAAGAAAATATCTTAAAGTCAATAAAAGGGAAAAACCCTGAAGAATTAACAGTAAATTAAAGTTTTGGTCTGAAGAATATCTATGCAACTATAGTACTTAGAAATTAGTTTTTTTGTGTGTGTTTTTTAAGTGATAAGATATAAATACCCGACAATAGGTTTCACTTTTCTCTATATTTTAATATAATACAATTGTTATATAAACATTAAAATATCACAAAGATAAAATATTAAAACAATGATATAATAGATGGTATAGCCTTGATATTAATATTTATAATAGAGGACACAGATATTGGTGGTAGTTACAATAATACGTTTTTATTTTTAACATAATTTGAAGCTTTTTTTTTTTAATAACACTAACATGGCACAGTCAGAAACTATATGAGACAACTTTAACACAGAAATAGTAAGATACAGTAACATAATAAGAGGATGTTTATTCAGAGTAAGAGAGAAAAAAACAGTTAAAAATACACAGTGATTTTATGATTGTCTCCACGATTGTAAGCACTTATTATAATGATTATATGGGAATAAGATATTATCATTTATTTTTATTTTTTAATTTTTTTTTTTTGGGGGGGGGAGGGGAGTTGGACTCTCCATTGCATATTAGAGATATACAAATATTAACAATTCTTGCCCCAAACGGCAGTTTACCCCTGCCATAGGTTCTTTGAACTTAGTAGCTTGCACTTAGGCTTCGTTCAGTCGAGGGAATAAGGTCTTACACTTATACCCTCTATTTAGAGGTATAGATTGTGGGATGTATATATTGAGGCTCAGGAAGACATTCACATATGTGGTATTTGTTTTTATGTTTGTATGTTTGTCAGGTTTTTTGGCTGCCAGCACAGGTAGAGGAATGGGGTTAAACTTTTTCTATTTTGATTATGGTTAAATTCTTGTATGTGAATGTACAGGGACTTCACTCTAATTTTAAACAACAAATGGTGCTAAAAAGAATGAAAAAAAGAGGCTATAGATATATTAATGGTTCAAGAAACACATTGGAGAGCAAAAGATGAACAAAAATGATGGACTAATAAATTTAGACATGTATATTCAGCATCTTTGCCTGAAAATAAAAAACAAGAAGTAGCTATTATAATGGCAAATACTCTACATATAAATATTAAATATCAGAGCAAAGATACAGAAGGTCGCTATATAATCTTAGTGTGTGAGATAAACAAACAGTTATTTACCTTGGTGAATATATGTTTACCAAATGTATACCCAGTACGCTTTTTCAAACTTTAAACAGGTTAGATCAGGGCAACTTTTAATCGCAGGTGACCTAAACTGTGTCCCTGACTACCATTTAGATAAAAAAACAAATCCTTCGAATGTGATAGATAAAAATTATATTAAACAATCAAAATAATTAAATAAATGTATTATTTAAGCGAATCTGGCCGAAATTTGGAGGGTTTACCACATGAATGAAAAAGACTATGCACATTTTTCTAAACTTCATTTAACTTTTTCTCGAATTGATCTTTTTTTTGGGTGATATGTCCATTATTAGTAATACTAAAAAAAATCTATATAAAATGTAATGTGTGGTCAGACCATAGCCTAGTAATCTTGGAATTAAATGATGCTCTAAAATCAACATCTAGAACCACATGGTGCCTAGACGACTATATTCTCAAAAATCAATTAAATCAAGAATATATACATAATATAATTAAATTCTATTTCAAAGAGAATTCCACAGAACAGATACCACACATCACAGTTTGGTGTGCATTAAAAGCAGTTGTTAGAGGTCATTTTATTAAACTTAAATCTAATCTTGTTAAAGTAATAGGCACTTAATTATCAGAGCTATATATATATAATTTTATAATCTTTCTCAAAAAGTTAAAAATAACTTTACTACTGTAACTCAAAAGAATCTTGAAAAAATCTCAAATAAAATCAAACAGCTAGAATTAGAAATTACTATTAAAATTTTGGATCGCCTTAAAATGAAATTTTATAGAGCAAACAAAATTCGAACAAACAAATTGAAAAAAAACATTAAAGGAAAGAATTACATCAATAAAAGTTAAAGATCAAGTATATAGGACCCCAAAAGATATAGCAAATGCGTTTGTTGAATTTTATAAACATCTCTATAATCTTCCCAAAAAAAGCCTCTAAAGAAGACATTAATAATTATTTGAAAAATATAAGTCTATCTCCAATTCTAATTGTAAAAAATGAATACATTAAATCAACCAATAGAAATAGCTGAGGTAGTAAGGGCAATTGTAAAATTAGCACATAGTAAGACACCATGTCCTGACGGTTTCAGCAATTTATTTTATACATTATACAAAAATGAAATTTTGCATAATTTAGTTAAAACCTTTAATGAGATAATGACCAAAGGTATTTTCCCTCAGAAAATGTTGAAAGCAAATATCTTACGCATATTAAAACAGGGGACAAATCCATCAGATTTATCCAGCTACCTGCCTTTCTCATTAATAAATGTCGACATCAATAGTAGCTGAGCAATTGAAGAGTATTTTGCGGGATATTATTCACTAGGATCAGATTGGTTATATTCCGGGCAGGTTATCCTACAATAATATTAGACAAATAATCAATATTTTAGATTCGACTGAGTGGGAGTGTACTCCCCTCCTTACCCTGTCGTTAGATGCAGAGAAAGCGTTCGACAGGGTGGGATGGGAGTACATGTTCACTACATTACAACACTATGGCTTGAGTGATTGGATGCTCAGAGCAATAAAATCTCTATATACAGTTCCAACAGCCAGGCTGGTGGGCATGAACCTATGTTCAGAGTGGTTTGATTTAAAAAATGGAACAAGACAAGGCTTCCCACTATCCTCCATCTTGTATATCTTGTTGATTGAACCACTTGCTATAAGAATAAGAGAAATGGAGAAATAAGGAGGTATCCAATCA